GACCACACAAATGATGGAATGACAACTTACTGGAGGCACATTCAAAAACAGACAGAGTCATGTCTCTATTAAAAGAAGAAGAAGAAACCTACATTTCTACCACCCCTTCACATCTGGAATTAGTGTCTTTGTCAATTGCTCTTTTTTTCTCTGTGCCTCCCATTTTTGTTGCCATTCTTTCTCTTACCTTGGCTTCCTCTCATCACTTAACTCATCCGTGTGAAGTGGCTGTTAATATTATCGTATACAATCTTAAGTTATTTTCCTAGGAGGTAAGTGGGGAGCGTAACTACAATCACATGTAGGGCTATCATCAATGTAGTCCGGTTTGCACTTATTACCTTGAACAGGGGTTTTGTTTGCGTTCTTATTAACATTTCTTTATATTTTAATCTTAACACGCCAAGACATACAGGTGCCCGATATAGGAAGGCATATTGTACCACATGCATTTGTGGGAACTAGATTTCTTTGGTATAGCTATACATTCTAAGATAAGCCATTTCTGTGGTATATGCCACTTACGTGTTACAAGTTAAAAGATGTGTTAGTAGTTTTATGTCGTTATCATTAAATGATTCTTAGTCTATGTGAATTTAACTTTAATTATATAAAACAGCTGGTGAAAGATTCAGTAACTGGGCCTGGCAACCGAATATTCGAAAGAACCAGACATTTCATGTTACTTAAAAGTTTCGTCTTTCTTTTCAAAAGATTCAATTTCTGAGAATTTCGTAATGAGTGGGAGCCAGTTCATGTATGGGTTTGGGAGCCAATTCATGTAGGATTAAAGTGGTTTTATAGAGTTCAGGAGCCAGTTACAGTGCACCGAGTAAGGATTATAAAATTTCTAGAATTATTTAATTAGTATTTAAGACTCCTGAGAACATACAAATTTTCACCAATAGAAGATTTATAAGGGATGATTTATAGAAACTAGGAGTGTTTATAATAATAATCTACAGTAAAACCTCCTTTAACCGAAACCTTTTTAACCGAAACACCATTTAACCGAAACGGCTGACAGTCAATAATTTTGTCAATAAAAAGTAAATTTTTATCGCAAAACGTAAATTCCATTAATTTCACTCACCGATTGATGCCTATGTGTGTTATGAAATAAAAAAAACAAGAGAGATATTTGAGAAAAAGCACTTCCAGTTTTTTATAGAAGCCAAAAAAGCTGATGGATGTCGACCACTTTATGTTCAGAATGGTTCGAAAATGAATTCGCCCCAAGCGTAAAATCCTTTTTAAAATAAAAAAAACCTTGCCATCAAAGCATTGTTGCTTGTTGACTCAAAATCTATACAATAGTGGTAATTGTCAGATTTTTGCCACCGAATGCCACAAGCTCAATACAGCCGTTAGACCAGGGAGTAATAGAGACATTCGAGAGACATTATAGAGGAGCATTCTTAAGACAACTGTTATTACAGGAGACAAATGAATCCAAAAGTGTTCCTGAAATCCTCAAATGTTCAACAATAAAACATGTTGTTTATTGGCGTGCTGAATTCTGGGCCAAGACCAAATCTTCAACTTTGGAAAAATGCTCCAACTAACTTTTTGATAGGATTTTGATTGACGATCCTGAAGGAGAAAATGGTAAAGAAACGGCAGAAGAAATTAAACCTTTAATAAAAAATTTGCCGGAATCTGACGAAATTAACTAAGAAGAGATACGTGAGTGGTTAGAAGCTGATGACTCAGAAAGTGAATTCATCAACCAGGACATCATTGATATGGTTCTTCATCCAAACAACCTGAGTGTATCAAACGACGAAGATGACGACCCAACAGACAACAGGCAGCATGAGACCACCGACGAGATTTTCAATGCCTAAGGATAAGAATTTTATATAGTAGGCCTAATTAGTTAGGGACACTACTAGGTTCTTAAGTTTTGTTTTCACTGTATAAAGAATTGTCCTTTTCAGATTGCTTTACGTTTCGTCGAACGATGAAATGAGGCAAACTCACAATATTCTGCAAATAACGATGGAGATATATAGCTGCAAAACATCTTTTACAAACGATAACGTAAAAGAAAATAAAAGATTTCATATTTTTCCTACATTTTATTACTTTATTCTGTATTTACTTAGAAAACATTACGAAATCACCTCATAGTATTTTTTGATTCCAATACTTTAACCAAGAATACTATAAAAAACAATGTTATTTTTAACCGAAATTCTTGTTATCCGAAACAGCCTCCCCCTTAATTATTTCGGTTAACTGAGGTTTTACCGGTGGACATTAATATATTACAGGTATACGCGCCAACGGCAGATAAAGATGAGGCAACCAGCGAAGAATTCTATGAACAACTGGGAAGCCTGATGAAAATGACAAAAAAAACATGAAGTAACAATAGTGATGGGAGATTTCAATGCAAAGGTTGGCAAAGGCAAGGTGAATGAGATCGTGGGAAACTTCGGCCTAGGGGAGAGAAACGATAGAGGTGATAGACTTATATGCTTCTGCCAGGAATATAACCTGCTGTTAAGTAATACACTCTTCAAGCTCCCCAAACGTCGACTTTACACATGGAAATCCCCCGCTGACTCACCTGACAACATCATTAGAAATCAGATAGATTATATAGCAGTACCAACAAGATATAAAAACATGATAAAATCATCAAAAACGTACCCAGGTGCCGATGTTCCTACGGACCACAATGTGTTGGTATGCAGAATGGTCATGAGAGTAAAACGGCTCGAGAAAAGATCTAATTTAAACACAATCGATATTAAAAAACTCACTAACCCAGAAACCGAAATAAAAGTACGAGAACAACTAGGAAAGAAAATAAAGGACATTAACGAGAACACGTCGGACATAATAGAGAGATGGGATAAATCGAGGGAAGCAATCCAAACAACATGCGCGACTCTATTAAAGCGAGACCGACGAAAAAAGAAAGAATGGATGTCTGATGAGATAATGGATATGATGGATGAAAGACGTAAATTCAAGAATAAAAATGCAGAAAAATACCAGCAGATCCACAAAACCATAAGAACGAAAATTCGAGAAGCCAAAGAAAAATGGTTTTCCAACGAATGCAGGGAAATAGAACAATACGAACGAAAATACGACAGTTACAATATGCACAAAAAAATAAAATCGATGACAAACAAGAGGAAATTCAATAAGTCACCCAACAGCATAAAAGATAGCGATGGAAATCTTATCTCGGAGCCATCAACGATCTTAAAAACATGGAAATCATACATAGAAAAATTATTTGCATCTAACAGGACTGACGATCACCTATATGGAGAAGGAGAAACAGGACCTTCAATTCTTAAATCGGAGATAGAAGATGCCATTGCAGCACTAAAAAACAATAAGTCAGCAGGTCCGGACAATGTACCCTGCGAAATATTAAAGATCCTATGTAAATCAGACAAACAGTTCCTTGACAATCTAGTTGTACTTTTTAACAACATATATAATAGCGGTAAAATCCCGGAGAACTGGCTACAGTCAACATTTATTACAATCCCGAAGAAACCAAATGCCCAGATTTGTGATGACTACCGGCTCATAAGCTTGATCAATCATGTCACTAAAGCGTTCACTAAGATCATTCACAGAAGAATATATGATAAATGTGAGTCAAATATTGATAGATCGCAGTTTGGTTTTCGGAAAGCACTTGGAACTAGAGAAGCAATTTTCGCTCTCCAGGTGCTTATACAACGGTGTAGAGACGTTGATAAAGACGTGTATCTGTGCTTTGTAGATTTTAGAAAAGCATTTGACAATGTCAATCATGAACAATTGATAGGTATTCTGCGAAAGACAGGTATTGACGACAAGGACATTCGAATTGTGGCAAACCTATACTGGGGTCAAACAGCAAGAGCAAAAATTGGCAACGAACTCACTGAAAGCGTGCAGATCAAAAGGGGTGTCCGTCAGGGGTGTATATTATCCCCACTCCTATTCAATATGTATTCCGAGGAAATATTTAACAAATGTATGGAAAATGCAAATGAGGGCATTAAAATAAACGGCGAGTTAACGAACAATATAAGATACGCCGACGACACGGTGATCCTTGCCAGTACCATAGACGAATTACAACAAGTAATGGAAAGACTTTATTCAGTTAGTGAGGAATACGGCCTGAGCCTCAACTTCAAGAAGACAAAGTGGATGCTGATAAGCAAAAAGCAACAACCTGCTCGACAATTACGGATAAGTAACATATTAATTGACCATGTAGAATCTTATGTGTACCTTGGCACCAACGTAAATGCAAAATGGGAACAGACCATAGAAATTAAGGCGAGAATAGAACGAGCTAGAGCAGCATTTAGCAATATGAAAAAGCTCCTCATAAGCAAGGATTTGTCTCTTCCCCTAAAACTACGTATAGTTAAATGCTACATTTTTCCGATCTTGCTGTATGGCGTGGAGGCCTGGACGCTGACGGAGACGCTAACGAGAAAACTAGAAGCATTCGAAATGTGGGTGTACCGACGCATTCTTCGTATATCCTGGACCGAACATGTCACCAACATAGAGGTACTCCAAAGAATCGGAAAGGAGAAAGAAATCGTGAATACAATTAAACAAAGAAAGCTTGAATATCTAGGCCACATATTGAGACACGATAAGTACCGTCTGCTACAATTGATTGTCCAGGGAAAAATAGACAGTAAGCGAGGGCCAGGCAGGAGAAGACACTCGTGGCTCCAAAATCTGCGGAAGTGGTTCGGGCTCACATCGGTCGAACTATTCAGAAGCGCCGCAAACAAGATCAAAATTGCCATGTTAATAGCCAATGTTCGCAACGGACAGGGCACTTGAAGAAGAAGAAGAGGTTTTACTGTATTATTCTATTAATATATCCTATGTTAATGCCTTTAAACTAGTAAGCCTATACAGCATCCAACAGTGGTAATGTGTGAAATATTCATCATTGCATTCAAAAATCTCAGAATAAAAGATGTATACATAAAAATAAATAAGAACTATACCATGGTTGTGGAACAGTCTAAAGAGAGAAGTCAAACTTAACTCAGCGTTAATGAAACAAACCACTACTATAAAAATACAATAATATAAGAACTAAAAAAAAATTTGATAAAAAAGAATAAGAGTTATGTACGAAATTGTGTAGTAATACCTGCTCTGCTGAATAATGAACTCCCTCAGTTGTTTCAGCTACTAAGTGTATTCCAAATCCAGGACTATTTCCAGATTGCTTTCCCCTACATTGATCTGTATTTATATAAATATCTGGAATGAAATTTAAAAGAACACCCTTTGCTTTATCTACCATTCTGTTAGCTATAGCAGGCGAAACTCTTAAGGCATAGGCTGTACCCCTTATCCTTTTAACCATTCCATTTTTCAACAATTGAACAGGTCTTGTCTGTTTTCGAACTGGGCATCTGAATGTTACTTCACCTCCTCCCAGTGGCCTCAAGCCCCTTTTGGAAATTTTCAGGTTTAAATCATCATCATCTAATACAAATCTTTTTAATGTTTGAAGCATAGATGTTTTTATGAGATCTACAGACGGATCTATATTATTTGCTGTAACTCCTTTTAGTTTGGCTTTTAAAGGTTGTTTACAAAATATACCAAACATTACCAAAGCTTCTAAGTAGTATCCTAAAATATAAATTGCATACAATCTAAGTATGTTACAGTGATACATAATATATATATATATATTTATTCAAAAGAATACCAGCAATAATTTGTAAGTAATTATTTATTGCATGAATGTTTTAGGGATAAATTAAAAAAGAGAGTAACTAAAGCAAGACTTACTTCTCACTTAAGAAATGTAATCTTAGTAAATGAAAAGTCCTCCTTTACTCCAAAACTATATATTCATTGTAAGTAAAAAACAAAAAGAAAAAATAGGTTTGATAAAAGATTAATTGAACAGCACGAAGTCTTCATCCTACAATATCATATTACAGATATGAACTGACTTCATTATGAAGAAACTTTAGTGTTATTACAGGAAGGGCAATGCATCAAGATTTTTTATTAAAACTTAACATCAAAATATGAAATGTATTGAAAAATTGTACTCAGAATGAATGTATAATTTTCTAATTTAGATCATGAGAAATATTTTGATTGCATTGTATCTCTACTAAACATAAAAAATATTATTTGAAACTAAATGTTTGAAATGATTAAAAGGTAACAATACTAACCTATAGCTCTTTCTGTACAACAGTCATGTTCTATTTCACCTCCATAAAGCAGACCAGGTTGAAAATATAATGATGTTCCTGTTTCATTTAATTCAATTACTGTACCATTTGTAACTTTATCTAATAATCTTATTAAACTAACTTCGAACTCTTTTAAACCTGGTTCATCTTCTTGTATTCGTATTTCAGATATTTGAACAGGTTTTCCACTTAAAACTGAGAGAATTAATCTTTGTCTTAAGTAGTTGCTACCCTTATAAAGGAGTGTATTGCCTTTTTTAGTAGGCATAGTATATTTTGAAGATTTTAGTTTAGTTTAGTTTATATTGTGTTTGTGTTTATTACAAGCAACAAGCATGCAACATGCAATCAGTTTTAGGTTAATTTTTCTTCTTCTTTTAGTTTCATCAAAGAATATAGACGCAAGGTCGATTCAGACACATCACAGTCTCGGCATATTTTGTATGACGAATTGTTCGGTTCAGCGATAGGACTGTTGTGTGGCGAGACGTGACTGATGTGTCTGAATCGACTAGCGTCTAAACAACATACCAACAAATCAGGCGATTCGGTATCGATATCAAATTCAGATCGATACAATCGAATTGAATTTAGTAGCTCGGCGGAGTGCTGGTCGCTGGTTATGTCATCGGGAGAACAATAACATAACCATAACCTAAATTATTAGAAAATGGTAATTGGGACTTAAATAAATGGAAAAATTAAAATTATTTAAATTAGTTGCAACACGTAGATTACCTATGTGTTTTAGGTACAAATGCATTGCCTAAAAAGCAGTGGAATTTCTCCCAACATGTATTCAGTTGTCTGTTATAATCTATTTGTAACTTAAAAATGTTTTTAAAACTTATAGGATTTTAGATTGGGGTAGAATCAAAACAGGGAAACATTTGAAGTAGATTTGTGGACTAATAAATATACATAAATCGAGTCGGAGGGAAATGTTTCAACTGACTTTATAAATACTATAACTTGTTATGTTTTTTCCTGGAATTTTCAGCATTCTTATCATATCTAATTTAAATATACATTTAAATATACATTTAGCTTTGTGGATTTGTGAATATTTCGGGAATATTTTCGAAATTTTTTTGATTTTTACCGAACCTAACCTCAAACATGAAATGTAATGTGTGTAAGCAAATTAAAGTTAAAAACAAGGATGTTTTTGACTGTGATGGGTGTAATGATGCAATTTGTAAAGAATGTGGCGAATTAACAGCATCTGAAGTGAAAGTCTTACAACTATCAAGCCGTGTCATGAAATTCTACTGTCTCAAATGTCAGAATGGAGAATCCATAAAACTTTATCAACAGTTATTAAAAACTAAGGAGGCATCATTAGAAGACAAGGACACAATCATAGACTTACTGAAACAAGAAAATGAAGTCTTAAAAAATGAAAGTAGTACTAAAGAGCAGTGTGACCAAAGGTGGAAATCAAATAACGATCTTAGTTACAGCAATGCAGTGAAAAAACAGAAAGAAAAAGTCATCATAGTAAAACCAAACGACTCAAATCAAACAAGTGAAATAACCAGAAGGAATATTGAAGATAAAATCAACCCATGCAACTTGGGAGTTGGTGTTTCAGAAGTTAAGTATATTAGAGATGGAGGAGTTGCTATAAGATGTACGGGTAATGGAAAAGAAAATGTACAGGATGTCTGTAATAATATAAAAATGTCATTGGGCCAGTCCTATGATGTAAAAGTACCTGAAAAGATGAATCCCAGAATAATAGTGTTTAACTTAGATAAAAAGGATATAGAAGATGAAGATCTTTTAATTGAAAAAATTGTAGTACAAAATGGTATAACAACAGAACCAAGTGTAAGAGAACTAAAGGTAATCCATACTATAAAAAACAGAAAAGGAATGGTAAATATTATATTCCAGATGGATGTGCATACCTACGAACGCATTAATAAAAATGAAAAGTTGCATATTGGTTGGAAGAGCTATTTTTTTAGAGAAAGCGTAAATGTTAAACAGTGTTACAATTGTTGGAGGTTTGGTCACCTTGCAAAAGAGTGCAAAAAAGAGACACCCACGTGTCAGCAATGCGCTGGTGAGCATCACGTAAAAGACTGTAAATCACGTATAGTTTGTTGTGTAAACTGCAAATATGCAGAAGAAGTTTTAAAAATTTCCAATATTGATTTGAAACATAAAGCATATGATAGGAATTGTGAAGCCTATAAGAAAGTAGTAGAGCGATTACAAGAAAAAATAAGGTATCCTGAATTATCACATGGTAATTGTAAAATATAGCAATCAAGTCCAACCATTCTGTACCTAAACATTCAAGGATTTAGCACACATAAAACACAGTTATCATGGATTGCAAGTCAGAAAAAGCCAATTATTATGTGTTTATCGGAGACCCATGTTACCTCAGATTTTGCATCAAATGAAATAGATATTGATGGCTACAACTCAGTTGTTGGTTTTTCTTCAAGTAGACATACAGGAGGAACATCAATTTATATACAAAAAAGGTATCGTTATAAAGAAATTATTAAAGAAGAAAAAAACAAGAATATATGGTTAACAGGAATACAAATAACTATAGAAAACCAGAAATATTACATCTATTGTCTGTACCATTCACCTAGTGCAAGTCATGCGGAATTTTTGGAGGAGTTGGATGCGTTTTTAGATAGCATTGAGACTGATGCTATCTTTGTGATATTGGGAGACTTTAATATAGATTTGGCAAGTATAAACTTTTACTCTATGAAATTAAATGATATTATTATTAAAAATGGTACCTATCAGCTAATAAACGAATACACAAGGATTACAAAATCGACATCTACTAGGATTGACCTAGTACTTACAAATCAAAAAGACATTAGTTGCAAGGTGCTCCCAACTCCAAAGATTACAGATCATTCGATAATTGTAGCTGATCTGGGTAGAAACAATGAGACGACACTCACAAAAACCTATAGAAAGTACAATACAATGGATGTGACAGGATTTCAAATGAAACTTATGGATATGCAGTGGCCGTCAAGTTCCTCTATAGATGTAAGTAACAATGCTGATATTCTAATAACTAATGTATTGTCTGCACTCGATCAGTTTGCTCCAGAAAAGTCTATTAATACGAAGGATGTTTGGGGAAATAAATTATGGTGGAATGAAGACATTGCGAATGAAATTAAAAAAAGAGATCAATATTACAAAAAGGCTATATTTACTAAAACTGATACTGACTGGGATGATTTCAAACAACAAAGAAATAGAGTCGTAGCATTAATCAGAATTACCAAACAAAATTATTATCAGGAAAAAATAGATGATTGTAAGAATGATCCAAAAAGAATGTGGAAAACATTAAAGGAGCTTGTAAACGGCAAAAAAAACCATGAAGCTAAAAGTGAAATAATATTTGATGGTGGGGGGGTTACTGGTAAAGAGATAAGTGAAAGATTTAATATATTTTTTCTAGACAGTGTAAAAGACATAGCAGATAGCATTATTTCAAACAAAACCCACCAAGAAATTTGTAGTTCAATAAATGTCGACTGCAAAATGGAAAAATTCAAAATGTTAGAAATGAAAGATTTAAAAAAACAAATGAAAGAAATGAAAAACAAAGAAAGTAATGTTGATGGTATTACAGTTCAAATTTTAAAGAGTTCCTTTGAAGTAATAGGCGACAAAATTTTGCATATTATAAATGGTAGTTTAGAAAGTGGCGTATTCCCAAGTAAATGGAAGAGAAGTCTGGTTGTACCAATTGAGAAGGTTCATGGAACTGTTAAGTGTGAGGAATTTCGACCCATAAATATGGTACCACCATACGAAAAACTGCTGGAATTATGTGTAAATGATCAAATAGTGGAGTACTTGGAAAGCAATAATGTGTTAACTAAATTCCAAGCAGGGTTTAGGAGAGGAAATTCCTGTGAGAGTGCAATGCAGACGGTTTTGTTTGACTGGAAGGGTGCGCTGGAGTGCGGGAAAATGATTGGTGTGGTTTTCTTAGACTTTAAACGTGCATTTGAAACCATAAACAGACAACTGCTATTGAGAAAGATGGAAAGGTATGGCTTTGGTGAAAAAATTATAAAGTGGTTTCAAGAATATTTGACTGATAGAACACAAGTGACAAAATATGGTGCCATTTCATCGGCTCAGAAGTCTCTGTATGGTGTGCCACAGGGAACTGTGTTAGGTCCTACTCTTTTCATACTGTATATAAATGATATTGTTGATGTTGTTAAAAAGTGTAAGGTACAGTTGTTTGCCGATGATACTGTGATATATGCAATAGGGGATAAGGTAGATGAAATAATCGATATAATAAATGAAGAGATATGTAATATATTAAAATGGCTCGATAATAATTCCTTAAGTCTTAATGTAACTAAAACAAAAATGATGCTTATAAAGAATAAAAATTTTAAATTAAATAACATAATAAAAGATGTAAAAATTAATAATATTGCTTTGGAGAGAGTGGTTCAGTATAAGTATTTGGGATGTATTATAGATGAAAATTTAAGTTTTGTTGAACATTTTAAGTTTGTTACAAACAAAATAGCAAAAAAAATCTATGCATTGGGAAGAATGTCAAAAAATTTAAGTTGCTGGTCTAGGTTGACCATATATAAATCGATTATTGCTCCCCATCTCTATTTTTGCTCTACATTGCTGTTTTTAATGAATGCTTCTCAAATGAACGTACTGCAGAAAAAACAAAATAAAGCCTTAAGGATAATATTAGGATGTAGTGTATACACTAGTAGAACTGACATGCTAACAATGGCAAATGTTTTAAGTGTAAGACAGACAATTGTATGTAATAGTATGATTTTTGTTTATAAAATGTTAAATGGTCTGATACCTGTGCATTTGTGTAATAATTGTACCTTTGTTCGAGATGTACATGAACACAACACACGTTCTAGAAATAACTTTTATCTGAATAGGGTCAACACTAATTTTGGTCAGAACAATCTTTTTTATAGGGGATTAAAGCAATACAATGAATTACCGGAAAACATTAAGGCTTCTGGAAACTTAGCTCAATTTAAAAATTTATGTAAGATATATGTTAAGCAAAGCATTGTGATTTAATTTTAAGGGTATAAATTGATGTATCTACATGTATATTTTTCTAGCCATGTGCTATTAATAAAGATTATTATTATTATATATTTATAACTAAAGAAAAAGAAAAATGCAAGTGCATATTTTATACATACTTTTAAAAGTTTACCAAGTAAATTTTTATTACAAAAATTTAAGCCAGTAAATGAAATGTGCATGTTTATGTACCTATTCATTATTGTCAGATTCCATAATATTGATTTTATAGCTCTTATTGTACATTATAGTCCAATTACTATTACAAAATTATAATTTGTGTTATGAGAAGCTACAAGTTTTGCACAAGTATAAAACAGCATTCATAAATATTTTTTGTTACTTTAAATGCAGTTAAATATTGTAAATTATTGACAGCACTTTCCA